TCTCTCTTGTGAACACCGCTGCACAAACCTGTCCAAAGTTCGAATACCCCCCCACGCTGTCATTCTGTGGGAAACACTGGAAAGTAATATAGTAACGTAACGAGTAACGTAACTAGTTAATAAGTAAAGTAATAATATTACTTTTTTAAGGAGTGATAAGTAACTAGTAATATATTACAATTTCTGAGTAACTTGCCCAACACTGGCTCTGTGTGTCCCATCCTGCAAAATCAGGGAAACAAACAGGAAGCATCCATCAACTCCAGTGAATGTCCCAGCTCTCTCCAAAGTTCTGTCAAATCAGCCTTATAGATTTTGTTAATTATCTTATCACTGGCTTAGTTCAAGAATTCCTAGCAGGTCTATGCCCTACTCACTAAAGTGACCCATGTCTGGAAAAACCTGCAGTCTGCCCTTAAGGAGTTGGAAGTAGACAAGCTCCTATCAAAAGAAGTTAAAAAGGGTCACATGTTAAGTCCATTGTCAAAATCCCCTTTTTCCCAAAAACATCTCATTATTGATCTAAGTACTATTGCTTAATTCCTCAAGAGCTTTTGTAGTTATTGCCGTGCAGATGATTAAGTCAGCTGGGGTTGGTCCATGGCTGGGAAAATTACAGATGCCTTCAAAGTCATACCACTTCACCCCTCACAATGGCAGCTTGTTGTTGTAAAACTGTGCTCGAAGCTTTACTTTACCATTAAATTAACATTTGGTTGCATTATGCTGGATTCTGATGGAGGAGTGCATTGTAGTATTCCAGCCTGGAGGAGACAAAGGCGTGGACAAGCTTTTCCGTATCTGCAAGAGTGAGTGTGGGACAGAGACTGGCTATGTTCCTTAGGTGGAAGAAGGAGGTCTTGCACAGATCTTTGATGTGAGCCTGTAAGGTCAGATGAGGGTCCATTATAACACCAAGTTAGGTGGCTGATGTTGAAAGTGGAATATCCTGGCCAGAGAAGGTATTGCTGATGATGACGGATGACCGGACCAGGTGTGGGGTGCCGACTAGGACGGCTTCAGTCTTGGAGCTGTTTGGCTCCAGGAAGACTTGCTTCATCCACGCCTTTTTCTCCACCATGCAGGTGGTCAGAGTGAATGGTGGCAGGGCAGCAAAGGGGTTTGGGATTGTCCTGAGGTAGAGTTGAGTATCTTTACAAGAGATCTCTTATCTTGGTTAGGCCACCTTAACTTTGTTATGCGCATCGTCCCACATGGTCATTCATTCGTTTCACGCTTGATAGTATTGGCTAATTTGATCCAAAATGTAAAAGATACTTTGGTCTTAGACAAAGGTTGCCTCTCAGATCTGTCGTTCTGGGCCTTGTTTTCTGACAAATGAAATTATATTTCTTTCTTTTATAACCATGTTGTGGAGGATGCAGGCCCTTCAGTTGGCTTTTGGGGATTCTTCAATAACAAGTGGTTTGCAGATCTCTGGCCATCAGAAATTGAGCCCTTAATAATAATTCCAAATATACTGCAGTCTCATGCGATGTTAAAACTGGTCAGGCTAAATTAACTTTACCTTGCAAGCTATTTTCATTCCTGTTCATAAGAATTGTTTAGCTGATGCTCTCTGTCATTTTATATTTCCAGAGTTCAAAGCTTTGTGTCCCCAGGCCAAGCCCTCCAGCCTGCCATGCCTTCCATTCAATCAGATGACTCTCGATTAAGGATGTCCAAGCCTCTGCAGGACCTTTTTAACTCTGCCTCCAATTATAGGAGACTTGGTCTACCCAAAAACACTATTAAAGCTTATGATAAAGCTAGATTTCTACTCTTCCTTTTACACCAACCTCCTCCTTAGTCCTTTTCCAGTAAACATATATGTAGTCTGTGCATTTATCGTGCCATTGTATCATCATGCCAAGATCCAGCATCCAGAGCCTTCTTGTGAATCCTTCCATTCAGCTGAACTTCAATAGTTTCAAAAAGGCATGTCCTCCAAACAATGGATACTGACTCTCACTATTTCATTGGTGCATAAGTTGGTATCAAGGTTAAGGTGAGGTTGTTTTTTCACTATATGTTGATATAATGTTGGAAGCAATTCTTTTAATGGATTTGATAAAAATCCATTAGAAGGGGGGGGGTCACCTTCTTTTTCCAGGTTTTCCATTATTTACTCACTGGACTTGTCTGAAAGGTGTCATTTCGGAAACCTTTAGCCTTATACTGTCATTTGGTGATTTTTCAATTTAAATTTTTCAATCCAAAACTAGAACAGAATTGAACATGGGAGAATGAATTGGGGGTGCAATTCTGTGAAGATTGATGGGGGGGAGCCATCAATAGAATAAGCTCTACAACATCCTTTGCTTGGCTTTCACTAATGCAATTTAAGGTCCTGCACAAGGTTCCTTTTTTCAAAATCCACACTTCATGGAATTTTTCCAATCGTAGAAGATAGGTGTGACAGATGTAATCTCTCACTCTGTCATTTGAGCCACATGTTCTTTCTTTGTCCCAAATTGACACACTTCTGGAAAGGATATTTGGATTGTACTGTATGTTGCTCTTTAAACAACTATAGAAGCCTCTGCATTAATTGCTATTTTTGGAACTCCAGATAATCCCGGATGTTTTACTAAGGTTCAAAGGGAAGTTCTGGCATTCACCTCAGACTTTGTCTATTAATATGATGGAAGTCTGCTAAGAGCCCCACCATCTCTCAACAGATAACTGATGTTATGCTTTTTATTAAACTTGAGAAAATAAGACACACTATGGGACCCTGTCATCTCCTATTTTACTGAACTGCAGACTCCACCTGACTAATTTGACTAATTTGTCTGCTTGGAAGCAAACACATGCATGTTACATCTGCCAGAGACTGTATAAGGGTGTGTGTGTGTGTGTGTTTGCTTGCTTTTTCTTTTCTGTTTTTTTCTGTTTTTTGGAAGGCTTTGTTTTGCTCTAATTTTGGTTTCTATAATATGGAAAATTAGTGAACTGTGCCTTAAAATTTGTACCATAACTATTCTTGTGTGGTTCAATAAAAATAATTTGCAAAAAGAAAAAAGAGAAAGATCCTCCTGAACAGTTGTTTGTGCCCCTGTTGGAGGGGTTCAAGCCTTAATTAGGGGGGTTATACACCCCCAATCAGTTTGAACCATGCCCCTCATCATGAGGTGCTTATGGGGAAGGGACATGTGGCGGCTGGTGAATAGGCCTACACGTAGGAGTTTCACTAGATGGTATATTCCCCTAGGGGCTGAGGTGCTCATGGGGAATGGTTACTAGCTGGCGCCAAGGGCCACACATAGAAGATCTTCACGTAAAAATGTGTGGCTCTGAATCCATGCAGTTTTTGAGGGGCTTTAATATCTGTGCTAATCCCTACCCCAATATCTCCATGTAAACATATCTGCGGGGAGTAAAGAGGTTTGCAGCGGTCTATTTAAGCAGCAAAAATTTCCCATTTCTCCCTCTGCTCTCATACTCTTGCTACCTGCATCAGTATTGCTGCTCTTCTTTCAGCTCCACCAGCACCTCAGCATCCACCTGCAGGCTCTGACAGGGAAGTTTAATATTTGTGCTCATCCCTACCCCAATATCTCCATGTAAACATATCTGCAGGGAGTAAAGAGGTCAGAGCCTAGACGCCAAACTGTAACTATGTTCTGCTGTAAAAAACATTTTACCTGAGTTGTCTGACTGAAATGGAGCGACTTTTTCAGACAGTTAACTTGAGCTGCACCGAAAATTCACAAAGTGCCTCACATTCCTCATCATCCAACAATCACACCCTCTCAATCTGGCAGTCTATTTAAGCTGCAAACATTTCCCATATCTCCCTTTGCTCTCATACCGCTGCTGCCTGTATCAGTATTGCTGCTGTTCTTTCAGCTCCACCACCACTCCAGCATCCACCTGCAGGCTCCGACAGGGAAGTTTAATATTTGTGCGTATCCCTACCCCAATGTCTCCATGTAAACATATTTGCGGGGAGTAAAGAGGTTGGAGCCTAGATGCCAAACTGTAACTATGTTCTGCATAAACATTTCACGAGTGGTCTGATTGAACTACAGTAATGCCTTAATAAATAGTCAGTAAATCATTGACTAATGTCTTACACATAAACTAAAAAAAACATTAATAAGAACAACTTTTAGGATGCAAGGTTGTGAAAAATCTCTTTTGCTGTTGTTTCAGCTCTTTAACGATGAAGGTTATTCTGTGATCAATTCAGGAGTTATAAATGTCTCTAATGAAAAGCTTTTTTTGCAATTTCTAATAAGCTAACAAGTCTGCAGTTATAAATGGTAAGTCATTGTACAACAATATATCAAGTTTGCAGTTGTAAATATTAATAAATTAATGCATTCATTTTGGACAATATTCTCAGCAGCTTTTTCCGAGAAGGTCTCAGGTCCATTGGAGTAATCTAGGAATTAAAGTGCTTCAGTTTTATTTACTTTGAATTCAATTATTTTCAATAAGGATGCATCTGGACGTGTTCTTACATAACCTTTCATGCACTGCTGTGGGAGTGGCACTTTCCCTTTCTGCAGTCTTTGTCATGCATATGTGCATATGCAAAAACAAATAGAAAACAATTACGTGGATACATGACCAAACAAAAAGCAGCTTTCTCCAGGAGAAATTAGGCTGAGGAATTCAGGTTTTTCTAACGGAGAAAAGAAAAACAAACAAACTGCAGTTAAGAAATAAAAACCCTCAAAGGGACTTGTAAAAACATCTCATCCTAACAGCTGAATTTAATAAGAGCAATGGAATGAGCCATGAAAGCCTTCTGAGCAAGGGGGAAAACAGATGCCTGTATGACAAGTACAGCAACAGTTTCAATACAGAAAATAATTCAAAAGAAATGGTGGTACAGCGTGGGAGGTTTGTCTGTTCACTCAAGCATGTGTGCGTTCTCAATTGGTGGAGCCATGTCACAGCAAGCTTTCATCATTTCATACAGACAGATTCTCCTCAGGCACGCACAACCAACCTCTTCAAAGGACATTTGACAAGAGTTTTTTTTTTACCCAGGGAAACTCTGGCTGGTACAGCCCGGCGGTCGATCCAGAATGACACCCATGAAAGCATCACCATGAGCGTGGCGGGAAAGTATGTCTGCAGCAGGAAGAAGAAGATGTGGCGTCGCAACGTGAAGTTGATGTACAGACGATTGTACCAGCCTGCAAATACAGGAAGAGACCTGCTCAGACGGGGTGGAATACTAAAAAATTCAACAATGTAGAACCTGGTTACAACATTTTATATGAGGTTTCCTAAATTGAAGAGATGTGCTTATTAACATACAGAGTTAATCAATATTTTCACATTAACAGTGGATCAGTGACTGTATAATGTGAAAGAGGTTACTTGTAGAGATGAACCCACAGAAAATTAAACCAACTCTATTTCCTTTGAGCTCTATATAGTTTTCTAGCACTCTGTTTTGGTCTTATGGCCCACAGCTTGGCCTAGGCTGGTGAACACAGAGAAGCACTTTGCAGCCAAAGAGACATATTTTTCTCAGGAGTCGGTAAAGACCATTAAACGGAGATTAAATACCAGGTGGACACAAACATGACTCCAAATAAATGGTAATGTTGCTCTGTGTCTGTTGGATGTGTAAATAGGCAACTATCATCAACTTCAACAAGATGATAATATTGGGGTGGGAATCACCAGAGGCCCCACGATACAATACTATCACGATATTTATGTTCCGATTCGATTTTATTGCGATTTTAAATATATTGAGATATATTGCAATTTATTACCTTTTTCCAACTTCCAATTAGGTCCCTAAAGTCAAACTTGGTCAACATCTGTTTATCTAAAAAGGTACATTTCTCAGTTTGTTCATATCACTTTTTCAGTCCTCTATATGGTCCTGTTAAGTTTTCTAGTGGACTAAAAAAGCAATAGATTTTATTATTCTAGTACCAAAAAGTTAAAAGTCCCATCTGCAATTTATATAATAAAATATCGAAACTTGGCGTCCGTGTATCGATACAGTATTGCCATGGCAAATATCATGATACTATGCTGTATCGATTTTTTCCCCCACCCCTATGATAATATGTCAATACTATGGTTAATAAACAAAAAGTCTGATTGCTAATTGAGAATGGGTTTGTTGAGAATAAAGGAGAGGTTCACATTTCGATTTTTGGTTCACAAGTCTGTCTTAAAACAGTAATCAGGTGTCCATTTGTACAAAAAGTCCTCCAAATTAAACATTTATCAATGGCCTAAAAAAGTTTAAATATATGATATGACAATGAGTGCTTATGGTTTGGTTTAGACAAAAACGACTTGGTTAGGTTTTAGGAAAGATCATGGTTTGGAATAACGTAACTTCTTAGTTAAGTTTAGGAAAAAACAGGGTTTTGGTTGCAATTATTACTTCTGTTGATTCATTCATCCACTATGCCTAGGCATAATACTAATAATAAGACAGCAGACATGATTCATTTGGACTAAATAATTATTGTTCATGTCATGTTGTTGTACACAAGAACAGTGTGTGTGTGTGTGTGTGTGTGTGTGTGTGTATATACCTGTGCTGCTGTAGAAGGCTAAGCGAGATGTGGTGTGGAATTTCTGGATAAGGAACTGTGATAAGGAGATGCGGTCATCAGTGCTAAGGGACTCATCACCGCTCTTCCAGTACAGCATCAGGTCTTCATCTGTGTAGGCATCTGAAAACATCACACAGTCAAATGGAATCTTATCATACAAATACTTGTGGTTGTGTTGCTATAGCAACCGGCAGCGCTTGTAGAAGCAGCAGCCGGTAGCTCCTTCAAACTTCGCTTCACTTTTGTTTTTCATGTTTTTTTCTGGCTTTTGGCTCCGCCAAAATATTGTTACCTCTGACATAAATACAGTCATTGGAAGATGAATACGGGGTTTTTGGATTTAAGAGCAGAAGACCACAATCCACCCGGCCCAAACAACCGGAACAGGCCCCATGGCGGGTGCAGTGATCCCTCAGAGGAGAGGAAAAAGAGCCAGGAGAGGAGCCATGCTGGCCCAACTTGGACTTAATTCTGCTCCTAGAGAGCCGGTCAGGACATAATCAGGGCCCACAGAATCCCTCTTTTTCCGACCACTGTTTGATAACTTTTGAGTTGGTATTGCTGAACTACACTTTCTATACAAGATGTCTGTCTGATAGTGCTATAGCTAAATTTAAGGATGCGATTCCATCAGCTCTAAATACATTATCTAGTCACAAAGTAACGGAGGACTCCTATGCTAATTTCAGTCCCTCCCAAATCGATCATCTTGTTGATAGTGCTGCAGGCTCGCTGCGAATGACACTCGACTCTGTAGCCCCTCTAAAAAAGAAAATACTAAAACAAAGACGGTTAGCTCCATGGTATAATACTGAAACTCGCAAATTAAAGAAAATATTGCGGAAACTTGAGAGGAATTGGCGTTCCACCAAAGTGGAAAATTCTCGTTTAATTTGGCAAGATAGTCTTAAAACTTATAGGAAGGCCCTCCATAATGCCAGAGCAGCATACTACTCGTCATTAATAGAGGAAAATAGGAACAACCCCAGGTTTCTTTTCAGCACTGTAGCCAGGCTGACAGAGAGTCACAGCTCTATTGAGCCAAGTATTCCCATAGCTCTCAGTAGTTACGACTTCTTGAGCTTCTTTAATGATAAAAATGTCCTCAACTGGCACCGACTTATCTCTAAACTCAGGAACCTTAGAAACAGCTGTAGAACCAGATACATGTTTAGACTGTTTTGCTTCCCTCAATCTTTACCAACTAACTTCAATAATTTCTTCATCTAAACCATCAACCTGCCTCTTAGACCCCATCCCGACAGGCTGCTTAAAGATGTTTTACCCTTAGTCAGCACTTCTATACTAGATATGATCAATCTATCTTTATCAACAGGCTATGTACCACAGTACTTTAAAGTAGCTGTAATTAAACCTCTTCTGAAAAAGCCCAAACTTGATCCAGATGTTTTAGCCAACTATAGACCTATATCTAACCTTCCATTTCTCTCTAAGGTCCTGGAGAAAGCAAGGATCAGTTGTTTATGGAAATAGCATTTGAAGAAAACTCACAAGCTTCACAACACAATAAACAACAACAGTAAAGTGTGTCTTCTAAAACACAATATCATCAAGGACTTTCCTGCAGAACTTTGAGGTGGATTTGTTCAACTTGTCAATTCTGGGCGCCAGTAGGTGCCGCTATCACTATGACTGGATATTGGCATGTAAATGTCTTCAGGGTGGAACTCTTATCACACATTTGAAGTGTGAGACGGATTTGACCATGTCTAGTCCATTTACATGCTACTTCCTTTTTCATGGCAAAACATCATAATTCAACGCCATGCCATGGCCATGCCGTTTGAGCAATCAAAAAAAGCTTTGCAATTTTACATCGCAAGGCTCTTAAGATTGAGCTGCCCACTTTTAAAGTCGATCAGGTTAAAGCTCTAGGAGGAGTTTGTTAAAGTACAGAGAGCGTAAATTACAATTTCGTAAATAATTCAGAATGGCCGACTTCCTGTTGGGGATACTTTGTTGAAAATTTGTAGGGGACGCTATTGAGCCAATTTTCTAAACAACATCCCTAAACCATATCAGACAACAAAATACACCCCTTCTGACATGTGTGCCAAGTTTTGTGATTTTTCAAGCATCCATTGCCCTTCAATAAACAACTTTCTGTTTCAGGGAAATAATGTGTTGCCACGGCAACCATGTTATAAGAAAATGCACAGGCAATATAACATTATCAACATCTTGAGGTCTTTCTGCCAAAAAATTAACATGGATCCGATCAACCTGCTAAGAGGAGTACATAAAAGTTCAAAACATGTCTAATGACTGCAGAACATTCCAATTTTTACCAGACCTGATGTATGCAAATTTTCAAGAGGTTTCAAGTATCCTAAGACTATGAAAAATGAGTTTCTTGGGAGTATAATAATAATCTGAGCAAAACAGGTTCCTTAAACTTCATGCTAGGACACCGTTGGTGCCTACTTAAAGCTGCAAGCAGTGTTAAACAGGGTCTCACCCCCATGCTTGCCTTTGGGGAAGCAACAGCCGTAGACCTATATCTTACCTTCCATTTCTCTCTAAGGTTCTGGAGAAAGCAGTTGCTAAACAGCTGTGTGATTTTCTACAGAGCAATAGTTTATTTGAGGATTTTCAGTCAGGATTTAGAGCTCATCATAGCACAGAGACAGCACTGGTGAAAATTACTAACAACCTCCTTATTGCATCAGACAAAGGACTTGTCTCTGTACTGGTTTTATTAGATCTTAGTGCTGCATTTGATACCATTAACCATCAGATCCTATTGCAGAGACTGGAACATTTCATTGGCATTAATGGAACCGCTCTAAGCTGGTTTAAGTCCTATTTATCAGATCGATTTCAGTTTGTACATGTTAACGATGAGTCCTCCATGCATGCCAAAGTTAGTCATGGAGTTCCTCAAGGATCTGTCCTCGGACCAATCCTCTTCACTTTATATATGCTTCCTTTAGGCAATATTATCAGGAAATATTCCATAAACTTTCATTGTTATGCAGATGATACTCAGTTATATCTATCGATCAAACCATATGAAACTCATCAGTTAGCTAAACTTCAAATGTGCCTTCAGGATGTTGACCTGGATGACGTGTAATTTTCTAATGTTAAACTTAGATAAAACTGAAGTTATTGTTCTGGGACCTAAGCACCTCCGTGACACATTATTGAAAGATATAGTTTCCATTGATGGCATCGCCCTGGCCTCCAGCACCACTGTGAGGAATCTTGGAGTTATCTTTGATCAGGACATGTCGTTTAAGTCTCACATTAAGCAAATTTCAAGGGCCGCCTTTTTTCACCTATGTAATATTGCGAAAATCAGGAACATCCTGTCCTGGCCTCCTATCACTTCCTGCAGGTTTTCTGGCTCTGGAGCTGTGGAGTCTGGATCTGTGGCTGCGGGTCACCTGCTGCCCCCGTGTTCCTGCTCGACACCCTCTGCTACAACAACTATTGTTACTGGTCCTATTGTTATTATAATCATTAACATTACGATTGTTACCATTAACACTACTATAAATATCTGTACCATTTTTCATTTAGTCTATAGCAACATCACCTTTACTGTCTGTACCTCTGTGTGTATATTATGTAGGCTGCCTCCCTCTCTTTTTCTCTCTCTTCCTCTCCTGCCCTCTTGCCGTCCCTCTCTCTCGCCACCCCCTCTCCTCTTCACCCCCAACCGGTCGAGGCAGATGGCCGCCCACCCTGAGCCATGGTTCTGCTCGAGGTTTCTGCCTCTTAAAAGGAAGTTTTTCCTTGCCTCTGTCGCCTAGTGCTGCTCTTGGTGGGAATTGTTGGGCTTCTGTAAATAGCATCATAGAGTACGGTCTAGACCTGCTCTTTTATGAAAAGCACTGTGAGATAACTGTTGTTGTGATTTGGCGCTATATAAATAAAACTGAATTGAAAAACAATTGGTTCCTTGCACTTTAAGCACTTGCACTGCCAGGAGTGGTTGGCCCTGGCAATTCCATGCTTGGGCCCTATATTCTGGCATGGCTTTCTACTGCTGGAGACAGCTTTTGTCAAGTAAAGCGGTTTGATGCTTAACTTGCAATGTTTTTTTTCTTTTAGACTGGTAAGTAACATCCAATGTTAGCTATTTAGAAATCTTTAGTGCTAATGACAATACCAAGTGTGCTACAAATGGCAGATAAATAGTGTTGATGTGGCTGTTTTCTTGCTATTATGGTCTAAAACTGAGCTAACCAAGCCAACATAAACTATAGATCAATGCCACATGTGGAGATTATAAGATAGCAGTATTATTTTGATTGGCTCTCAGAGTTTCACCAGGTTGGGTGCATGTTTTGGATTATTGTCCTGTTGCCATTTAGTAGTTGGCTTTTTTTTTATATAACTGATGAGATTTTATTGACCTAGGGTTCACCATATCAACCACCTGGCACTACTGTTCACTATACATTTGAGGACATTGCAAGGTTTATTATATATGTTTAACTGTACACAATCTTGAGCAGTGCCATTGTTGCAATTAGTAAATCATGCACTTCTTGCACAATACTGTCCCCAATTTGTTTGGAGCATGTGGCCAAGAATTACCCATTGTACCTTTAAAGCATGTAAACATTTTGTAAACCCCAAAATAAAAATATGAACCTGAAAATGAGCATAATAAATGTTAGCTCTGATAATATAACACATCTTCTTATTTTGTTCTGGACTGTCCAGGACTCAATGATTTTTAGAACTGTAAATGAAACATTTACTCACAGCTCTCCAGCTCTAGTGAGCAGGTCTGAGAATCCAGAGGAAAGCGGCTGAAGTCCATGTTACAGGCTGCTGTCACTGTCACTCTGTCACAACAATAGAAAGAACAACAGACATACATGGTGAGAATATTAGTTATATATCGTAACTCTGGATTCTATGAGAGCTGGGCCCCCCTTGGATCTGCGCCTGTAATATATATTAACTGCGTGACTTGTGCTCTACTCTTCAAAGTCCACTGGAAGCGTCTCAGCGTCTCTTTAACAGCGGAGCGTGCAACCTACCTCACATTAGTGACTTGATATTCATTTGTCATTTTTGTGCTTCTACTACCTTCTTCCCCTTCTGTCAATTTCAGGCTGCATTTCCCACACAGAGCATTTCAGAATCAGAGCATTTGGCCTGCCTGATTTTGCTGACATGTTTCGATTTTTTTGATTTGGTAATCACTGTTTGCATTTTACTGTTGTGAAATGTACTGTTTATTGTTGTTTTACGATCGGGAGTCTCCACAGGGTGTTTTATTGACCGGCTCCAGTCCGCTTGCAGGGCTCACGGTGTGTGTTCTATCAATAATTTTAATATATATATATATATATATAATAATATTTTCCAGCAAAGAGTTTCTCTTTTTAAGAGAGACGGACTTCACCCCAACAAACTGGGCTCAGAAATGTTAGCTGCTCACAAATAGCATGCTGTGCAGTCCTCCACACATGACTTAGGTTAATGACTAATCATTCATGCAGCACACCTGGACACACCACTGGTTACTGAACAGAACCCTGCCTCACTGCCACTGATAATTGCCTCCACCTGAACGGAACTGAATCCTGGTTGCAAACTAATGGCCATAGCCAGCTAGCTGAACTGTGTCCTCCTCAGTATAATTGTTTCAGCAAGCTCAGGGTCAGTGGTTGTGGTGGTGGCCTAGTGAGCGTGCACAAGAAAAACATTACATCAAGTATGCTGTGATGAATTTACCTCGTTTGAAGTTCTCACTTTAAAACTTGGTGGCCTACAACTATTATATACATATATTTGCTATAATTTATCGCAACCTAAAACCGCCTGGAGGATTTTTAGCAGAACTTCCTGAACTTTTATCTACTCTTGTTTTAAACTATGACAGAAATACTCTTTGTGGCTATTGGCTACCATGTTGATGACCCCACCAATGTTCATGCAACTGACTTTTTAAATATTGCCACTTCTTTTAACTTTAAGCAACATGTCTATGGGCAAACACAGGACTATACTGTTGGAATTACGTGCAGACTACATAATGGGCACTATTGTTACTATATGACAACATAAAATGCTGAATGCTCTGGTTGATATCACAGCAAAACAATTTGTCACAATTATAAGAGCTACATTGGTGTGATGCACGGATTTGCTCTGACAATATCTAAATAATCATGTAAGCATGAATCATTCAGGTGGTTTCTTTATTGTGTTGCATTGATGTATAAGTGTTTTCTTTAATGATTTAATTAGAGAGGCTGCTGGTAGTCATTTTAAACATTTCCATGGGTGCAGTTATTTCACAGTAAATACCATTTGACAATTACGCAGCAAAACAAAAAAATTTTAGTTAGAAACTTGATAGGGCAGGACAGAAGAAACTCTGCAGAGGAAACAGAAATCAACTTTTATATAATTTAGATGCACTGATGGAGCTCAGGGCTGATCAGGAGGACGGCTTTACTCCCAACAGTTTCACTTTATGCAGGGTTGGGAGGTGTACAATTACTAATTACTTGTTTAAAAATGTAAACAGTACCGTAATCCAAGTACCACAAAATAAAAGTAATGTCACCTGATTACTTTTAGTTACTTTTGGATTACTTCAATGCCAAATGAAGACACGAGAAGTATCAATGAAGCATTGTCTGCTCAGTGTATTTTTAGAGAAACATACAATAACAAAATCTTCCATTCCCATGAAATCAGAATCCATGTTTACATGTTTTTATAGGATATGCTTTGCACTATGTCACCACTATGGCAGTATCTGGCCCATCAACGACAAAAATGTGATTTGTATGTATTCTTGATGACATTTAAGAGTTTGTCATTTGGAAAGCCATTTTAAAATGTTGATGACTCTTTCTGCACATGTATTAATTTAGCTTGGTCGGTTAGCCGTGCTGCTAGCGGTTCTATTACCTTACTCAACACCAGTGTGCCAAGAGCCAAACCTGGCAAGAAAACCACCTCAGTCTGGCCTCTGTTGGTCTTGGAGGCTGTGTTTAGTCCTGATCTGACTGCCGTGTCCACTCACTGAGAGCTGGAACCAGTCTGCACAGAGTCTGCATGATGGGGTGTGGGCGCAACACACATTCGGTACACGTACATACACCATAGACTGTATATTTAAAATTTCACATCTTGGGTCAAGCCGACCACTCTCTCATTTTACTTTTTTTTTTGACTCTGAGGTTTTTCTTTTTTGGGGGAGGTTCCCATTTTGGGTTATATCCCTCTTGTACGCTCAAGCACTGTGCTTGTGACAGAAGGCATCCACTCAAAGTGGAGGGTCGTCTCGTGGGTTCATGGAGAACCACAGTGTGCATTGCACAGTCTCTCTGATCCTCCCCCACAACATTTTAATGTGTGAGTGTGGGACTCAGTTTCCACTCCTGGCTATTTTCAGCAGGTTGGATGAGAGCATGCTGTCCTGATGTACGCTGCCACTGTCACGTTGTCTGTCCTTACTACAACATGTGCTTGGCTGACTGTTTTAACAATTTCTGGACCGTTTCTTCAGACAGTTTATGAAGAGAGATGTAGGCTTCGTCCGCCGTCTATAACCAGTTGAGATTGACGCATTCCTCCAGCCAGAACGAGATGCGTCCGTATACGCCGATATGTGTGACATAGCTCTCCGACAGATCATTGGGGTGTTACGCCCCACCCTTTGGTGGCTCCATGGGGCAAACAACACTCCAACTGAACACAGATAAACACTAATGCTGGGCAATGATTAAAAAAAAATGTAATCGCAATTAATCCAAAATTAAATAATGAATTCTAAAGTAGTGTATTGTGTTAAGTTGAGCCAGGAGGCTGAACGCTGGAGAACAGAAGTTTAGGACCCAAATGCAGACACTGAGACTGAAATTGGAGAGTTGGTGAGGTTTATTGCGACTAAGGAGAAAACTTTCAGCACAGGTGAAAACAAAGTCCAAAAATCCAAAATGAGAGAATTATCCACAAGGAACCGAAAGATGTGAAACTAAACAGGAGACTAAACTTGAGACACAAAGAGACTCCTGTAAAGACAAACTAACACTAGAAATACAGGAAACATCCACAGCAACATCAACAATGAACTGGCAACAAGTGATGGACAGACAACCATTTAAATAGACAGGGGAGGGAGAAACTAACTACACACAGGTGGGACCACTAAGACAATCAAAGACAAACACAGGAAGTAAAACATGACAAGCGACACAAGGGCAGACTAACTACAAACTAAAACAGGAAGTAAACCTAACTGAAACACTCAAGGAATAATGTCACAACATGAAACATAACAGACAACATAAGTGACTTATAGACAAAACCTACAGAAGTAAAGAACATAGAAACAAGACTAGTAACACTGATGAACTCATAAAAAGTAAACCTAACTAATAAACAAAGTAACACATACTACAGAGAAGAGCAAATACAAGCGCAGGGATTGAACACAGAAACAAATACAAAACACACCCAACCAACCCAAACCCGTGACAGTATTGCACACTTTTAAGTTAAATGTAGGCCTACTGCTATATACGCAAAAGTGCAATAACATGTGGTTTGCAAACATTTTAAACAAATAAAGTTTTTTACCAGCAGTATTCCCTTTACTCAGTAGCAATAAAATATTTCTTATAAATCTCAACTTCATGTAATCAAATCAAATATTAAACCAAAGCTATTTGCCACTGCCAGGGCATTACCTTTTATCTAGCTTGTTAAAACGAGTTACCATCAGAGTCCAGTTTTCTTGTTTTTTTTGAACAGGTAGGGCCTATGAGCAGAAACATTTTTCTTTTATCAGGAGGCAGCATAAGTGTCAAGTGTCAACCGATAGAGTGAGGTGAAGTAGTCGAACACAAGGTGTAGTGACAAACGGGCAAACAGATGGGCAAAGAGACAAAGCCGAGTTGTGTGTCGAAGGCAGCAAATATCTCAGAAGCTCCAATAAAAATCAAATTCTGATAATCTGTTTCTGTGTTGACAAGCAAGCCCAGCATCCCACTGAACATGCCCAAAGTCACAGCCTAAGGGATTTCACTCAATGGAGGCAAAACCAATGGCTTTTAAATCAGTCGCTTATCACATATTTTTGGATGAGGAATTAACAATATACATACATATACAATACATTTGGTGAGTGTCGCCTCCTATCTATCTCTGTTTCCGATCTATCCACTGTCCTATCTAATAAAAAAGGCGGAAAATGCCCCCCCCCCAAATCTTTTTTTTTGCACAAAGTGGCTCTTTAGATGACTGGTTGGTCACCATCCACTGTCATCGCAGTCTCAGCCCTTTGGTAATTCACCACTGGCTTTGATGTCTCAATAGTTTTTAAAATGAAAATTCCTTATGGGATATAAACTTTGGGTTTAGATTCTATAGATAGTATATGTTTGTCAGATTGGTTTGTCTGAAGGTAAAGTTAAGGTTCATGGTTCTACTGGACAGTTAAATTTAAAGTTTAATTCTGGATGATGCACACATTTACCAAACTTCAGTAAAAACTGATAGATACAGTATATACAAATAAAAATGAACAGAGAAAGTTTGGACTACCAAGAATGTGAACATGGTATTGGTATTGGCTCAGTGGCATGCAGGAGTGAAAATTAACTTTTTGGCTCACCTGCCAATGGGACTGGTAGAGATTTACCGGCCAAAATAATAACTTGCCTTTTTATGTCACGTAAACATTTGTTTCAGTACTTTTAACGGAGATAATAAGGTATTCTGTCGAATACAAACTTGAAGACGACCAGATTGCAGCAAAATAAATGTATTGCTATTAAATTTACTTAACACATAACAGTTAATTGTTTTATAAACTTACAAGATGCTTATTAATCATTCAACTTAAACCTCCTCATTAATTCATTTTAATTTATGCTCTGCTTCAGCCCCCCCACTATATTCATTAAACTTTCATATAAAGTGTATCACTACTATAGGCCTAATATTAATTGTAGGTTGTTTTCATTTATTAAATCTTTGTGCAGAAGAACAGTATATGTTGGTCTGTAATTTATTAATGCTAAGTACTAACAAAAACATCACAACTATTCATGCACAAAAATGACTGTAGGTTGTAGTTTTTACTCGCACATAGTAAATCATTTTTCTGGTTCGCACGTATCTCTTTTACGGGCAAATGCATGTCAAATACTCTGTGTAGCAACGCATCATCCGTCCTGCGTTTGTTCTTCTTCTTGTTTTATTTGCGGGTGCTGTGAGCTGTTCTACATGCTGCCACTGGCTTTAACGGAGGGGAACGTAGCAAACAGCGGTATAAATAAACGGGAGATTTACGGGGAGATATTTTAACAGGGGATACCGGGAGAGAACGGTAAAATACGGGTGAAGCCCGGGGGAAACGGGAGGGTTGTCAGGTACGCACGTTATAGTGGTAACTAGCTAGATAAATGCTAAAAACACTCCAGGTACTCCAAGCACGACTTGACAGCTCCCGACCCCGACTTCAATACCCTAAATCCCACCCCCTTACATACACTCACCTAAAGGATTATTAGGAACACCTGTTCAATTTCTTATTAATGCAATTATCTAATCAACCAATCACATGCAGTTGCTTCAATGCATTTAGGGGTGTGGTCCTGGTCAAGACAATCTCCTGAACTCCAAACTGAATGTCAGAATGGGAAAGAAAGGTGATTTAAGCAATTTTGAGCGTGGCATGGTTGTTGGTGCCAGACGGGCCGGTCTGAGTATTTCACAATCTGCTCAGTTACTGGGATTTTCATGGACAACCATTTCTAGGGTTTACAAAGAATGGTGTAAAAAGGGAAAAACATCCAGTATGCGGCAGTCCTGTGGGCGAAAATGCCTTGTTGATGCTAGAGGTCAGAGGAGAACGGGCCGACCGATTCAAGCTGATAGAAGAGCAACTTTGACTGAAATAACCACTCGTTACAACCGAGGTATGCAGCAAAGCATTTGTGAAGCCACAACATGCACAACCTTGAGGCGGATGGGCTACAACAGCAGAAGACCCCACCGGGTACCACTCATCTCCACTACAAATAGGAAAAAGAGGCTACCATTTGCAAGAGCTCACCAAAATTGGACAGTTGAAGACTGGAAAAATGTTGCCTGGTCTGAGTCTCGATTTCTGTTGAGACATTCAGATGGTAGAGTCAGAATTTGGCGTAAACAGAATGAGAACATGGATCCATCATGCCTTGTTACCACTGTGCAGGCTGCTGGTGGTGGTGTAATGGTGTGGGGGATGTTTTCTTGGCACACTTTAGGCCCCTTAGTGCCAATTGGGCATGGTTTAAATGCCACGGCCTACCTGAGCATTGTTTCTGACCATGTCCATCCCTTTATGGCCACCATGTACCCATCCTCTGATGGCTACTTCCAGCAGGATAATGCACCATGTCACAAAGCTCCAATCATTTCAAATTGGTTTCTTGAACATGACAATGAGTTCACTGTACTAAAATGGCCCCCACAGTCACCAGATCTCAACCCAATAGAGCATCTTTGGGATGTGGTGGAACGGGAGCTTCGTGCCCTGGATGTGCATCCCACAAATCTCCATCAACTGCAAGATGCTATCCTATCAATATGGGCCAACATTTCTAAAGAATGCTTTCAGCACCTTGTTGAATCAATGCCACGTAGAATTAAGGCAGTTCTGAAGGCGAAAGGGGGTCAAACACAGTATTAGTATGGTGTTCCTAATAATCCTTTAGGTGAGTGTATGTACGCCAATCAGACACAAGTAACCTGAAATGAACATAAACAACAACCAATGAACGCCCCTAATCCGTGTGTTACACGATTTTAGATCCTTTGGTACAGTGGGGACAAATTTAAGTGCGACACACATGAAAAACCAACGCTGTTAGGTACCGTCAAAAAGCTATTATATGGTGATATCATACCAAATAGTTTACATGCCAATGTGGCGGGTAGCCTTCCAACATTTGGCCGCTAAACGCAAAATCTACCTGCATTTGGTGCTTGGCTGGTGTTAATTTCCACCCCTGTTGGCATGGCTTACTATGACTCCAATAACCCATTATTAATGTTAAAAATGACACCTGTGCTTCTCTTGCTATAACAGTGTCTGCTGTGAAAATGCTTATTGTTTAATGTCTAATGAAAACATTTCTGCTGCAAAGGAATTTCATTTGAAAAAAGTTGTATTGAGATTCTGTGTAGCAGATCAACATGGAATTAAAAACATGTTAATAAGTCAGATGCTGAAATGCTACAGACCTCAAGCTGTAGAGAACATGTCCATCAGGAAAGACACGTAGCATGATGTTGTCGGTGGTGGTGTCGTGGATGAAGGACCTCTTGGAGTGGACAAAGAAGACATCAGGGACCCAGATCTTCTTCACCAGGCGACCATCAAATGTCATGCTCTTGTTTGTGCTGCTGGTGAATGACAAGCGCTCATCCTTCCAGTAGTGCCTCAGGTACAGAGTCATGGTGAAATCCTGGTGGAATTAAAGAAAGCGTGTATAAAAAGGAGTGTACTGGAGATTCACTACCAAACAGCACAGATCCATGTATGTATGTGAGATAACATGCTGACCATGATGTTCATCAGTCTACACCCCTAAACATTGAGCTTATGGTCTGTAAAATACCACTTATACAGACCCAATGAAATGAAAAAGCAACATTTTTCATTCTCTCAAAGTCAGGCCCCTTTTCAGTGATCCAATTTAATCTCTGGATACTTTGATGACATCACTCTTGTGATGATAACCCACACACTGAGTTTCATTCAGTTATATGTCACAGTGTGGACGACAAAGGCACTCCTATTTTACTAGGACTTGAACGTGAGACAACGTAACTTTTACTTACTGCCACAACTGGCAGTTGTGGGAAAATGGCACAATGACTTTCCCTTTATTTCCCAAACACTTTTACATATGTTTCTTTTATTTGAATGCAAATGTGTCTCCAGGTGTGCTAGTAAACGACTGAACGTTTATCTGTGACCTGCTAAAACAGCTGCACAAGAAGAGTCAGGAAACGGGCAAACTGTTTAATCAATTTTGGTTTTACTGAAATATCTTTCTATATTTTGCTATTATTAGCTAACATTAGCCACCATAAGCTACTGGTCAGATCAGACTAAGTAAGACTGTAACAGCAAAACTCCTGACTGTACTGAATTGAGCAACAGTGTTTTATTGCTTATACATTCAACTTTCCATTTGTGAGAGGACAAATTCATTATTTTTTCTTTCAAATGTTACATACTGTAAAACTTCAATTAATATTATATAATACTAATATTATTTGCTTTAATCAGAACCAGGCCTATATATGGGACAGGGCTTTAATTCCTTTCCCGCGAAACTCTTGCTTAGCAAAGATGGGAAACAGGCTTCTATGAAATTGTTTATTTTAACCAGTATGAATATTACTTGTATAACAATTTCAACCAGTGTGACGGTCCCAGCAGATCTGTGTCTGGGGCCTGTTTATGGTGTCGGTCTGTGTAAGTGTTTGTGTCAGGCAATCAAGGTGATTGGAAGCACCTGGCCAGTGAGCCCAGCCTATTTGAGGCTGCCCACACGGATGCCAGTGTTGGTGCACGTAATGGTGGAGTGGAGATAAGGTATGTGGTAACTACGGTGCAGTTAAAATTGGGAAGCAGTTGCATCATGGGCACCCCACAACTGGCAGGGAATGGAGCCTCCCAATGTGCCCCTCCCAAGCCCTCTGTGTCTAATGTGTGAATAAAATTGAGGAGCGGCCAGTGGGGGAGGAAGGAGGGTGAGGCTGCAATAAAGCAGCCCCGACAACCAAACGCCCTGCAGCCTGTCCACCCCCCTCCTGAAGGTGTGTGTAGAGAGACATAATAAGAGAGGAGGGGTGGAAGAAGTCATAGGGAGGCAGCACCACACACACACACACGCACACACACACCGCCCCTTATAGGAGAGTGACAGCAACTACCCCGCGACAGCAGCAATGACCCCCAGCCCCAGGAGGCCATCAGACACACCCAGACCCTAGAACCCACCTACTAGTCGCATGGGACCCAGAGCAGCGACTAGGTGATAGAAATGATCAAGGAGTACCAGAGAGACTGGAATTTTGCTAATTGTTTTTTTGGAAGCAAGCATTCTCCACATTTAGCAGGGCGGCAGTAGCTCAGTCTATAAGAATTAGGCTGGGAACTGGAGGGTCGCCGGTTTGAATCCAGTTGGACCAGAGTTGCAGAGTGTGGACTGGTAGCTGGAGAGGTGCCAGTTCACCTCCTGGGCACTGCCGAAGGAGGCCTTGAGCAAGCTCCTGAACCCTCAACTGCTCGGGGCCGCACTGAGTGACACTCTCTGTCCTGTATGTGTATGTGTGTGTCTTTCGGACCTGTGTGTAAATACTAACAACAGAGTGAAAACATTGAATTTCCCCTTGTGGGATTAATAAAGTATATCTTCTTCTTCTTCATGTTAATGTTTCTAACAGGAGATTCCGCATCTATGCTGCGTCAACCTCTGTACTAATGTCACTAAGGTCCCCCAGCATGCAGAATGATGGGGAAAATAGAACAGGGTAACTTAGCTATATCGATAGGTCATCACATATCTTCTGCCAGAACCTTTGGACAGTTGCACACTGCCACATAGCATGCATGTAACTATCAGATATGTTACCAGAGCAGTTCAGGCACGTTTGACTACATAAGACCCTTCTGAATGTCCTTTGTCCAGTATAGTGTTTTCTATGGAGAGTTTTATACTGTATGATTTGTAGATTGGGATTTTTTTCATTCTACAAGAATTTAAACATATTTGCATCCAGTAGTTTTGGTCTGGATTAATGGATAGATCTGTCTCCTACTTTCAGAATGGGAGAGAGATTGAATCATCAGTTTTTAACAGTAACATGTTTATCTTTCATCATAGCTTTGGAGGCGAGAGTTTAGGATAGTCTGTTATCATGGGAGGTAAATCTAAGTCCATTTTGTTATGGTTAACTCTCGCCTGAAGTATGGATTTAAACTGTTATATTCATGAAATATATTATTACTAATTCCAGCAGATGTCTCATCCCTTTATCATACCACAATGGGGAATTTAGCATTATCTTATTTTGCAGGATGTCAGGATTGTTCCAGATTGGAGTAAGTCTGCAGGAGATAGGTGAAGACCTAGATATTTTGTGAAATTCCCACTAGGCTGCCAGGGAAGTGCTTATGTTAATACTTTTAAAGCAGGTATGATGTTTGATACTGGATGGAACTGGTTTGATACTTTCCTAACAGAGTGTTTTTTTTAGGTCCATACATTTGATTGATCCATTTTGAGATATATTGTAGTCGGTTGGCCAGGAAGTAATGAAAATTATAAACCACTATAATCTTTTCCTTTTTGCAGAGTTTTAAAACTGATTCATGGGGGTTTATTTTTCCATAAAAATCTAGAGGTGTCAGTGAAACCAGACAGCAGAGGGTTGGGTGGGTAACATTGAAAACAGGTAATTGATTTGTCCATCCCATAAGGTCATCCTCTATTGATTTAGGTAGAGGTGTGTAGTTTAACTATGGCAGCTCTCACAGACTTGAGGAAATACTGACAGCCAGATATTTAATCTTCCCTGACTGTAGCGGCATGGTATATGTACTCTGGAAATCACACATTACAGGTAAAACTATGAATCTACTCCAATTAATGGAGTAGTCTGAGATGGATGAGAATTTATCAATAATAAAAAGAGACATTTGTGAGTTTAGGAGGAAAAGTAATACATCACCTGCATAAAGGCTTATCTTGTGGTGTACATTGTTTGAATTCCTTTAATATTTTATTTTATTTTATTTTTTCTGATAGCAGCTGCTAGTGGTTCTATAAAAATAGTGAATAGCAAGGGAGAGAGTGTGCAACCCTGCCTGGTGTCCCTCTGAAGACTGAAGCTTGGAGAAGTATAATCATTTGTCTTGACAGAAGCTCTTAAGGAACTGTATAATGTTTTAATCCAGTCTATGAAGGAGTGTCCCAATCCACATTTACATAAAGTAGCCACCAGAAATTTCCAATTTCACAATAGGAATCATATGCCTCTTACTATCCATGATTCCGATGTGCAGATTACTGAGAAATGTGAATATTTGGGTGTGACTCTTTCGCATGATTTGAACTGGAGCTCTAATACGACTAAAATTGCTAAGAAAGCAAGACAGCGCCTCTTCTTTTTACGCAGGCTTCGAGAGTTCACTCAAAACACTAAGATTCTTTTGAACTTTTATTATTGTGTAACTGAGAGGGTCCTAACTAGGTGTATTACTGTGTAGTTTGGTAATCTCGCCTTGAAAGAGAAGAAGGCTTTGAACAAAGTGGTTCGCTCAGCCAGCAGGATCATTGGCTGTACTTTGCCGCTCCTGGAGGTTACATATAAAGCTAGACTTTTGAATCGAGCTTTAAAACTTGCTAATGATGCATTAGGCCATCCTGCAGGGGCCTTCTTTGAGATGCTTCCCTCAGGGAGAAGGTATCGCTCTGTCAAATGTTCTACCGATCGCCATTTCAACAGTTTTTTTCCCCAAGCTGTGATCACTTTAAACAAAGCACCTTAAATTAGGCATTTTATATCTTATGGATGGATTTTATTGAATAGTGTTTTATTACTGAGTTTTTTGTGGCAATTGCTTGTCTGTTTTATGTCTCTTATGTTTTTTATGTGGTGACATTGCATTTTGAGCTTCTTGCATATTTTTTTCCAATGTGGTTTTATACTGCAAATCGCTAATAAAGTGAATCTGAATCTGAATTTACCCTATCAAATACTTTCTCTGCATCTAAGAGACAAAAGTAGTGGTGTAGTCTATTACATTAAGTAGCCTGTGCGTATTGTTGGTGGAGTGCCTTCCCTTAATAAATCCTGTTTGGTCGGGGTGTATTATACAAGGAGTGACCTTCTCTTGCCTTCTTGCTAGGGCTTTACAGATGATTTTAAGATGTGCGCTGAAAAGTGATATTGGGCGATAACTGGATGGGAGTGTGGGGTCTTTGTCTGGTTTAAAGGGATACTACGCGATTCTGAAGAGAGTTTGTTGATAAACAAACTCATGAACGTGCATTGCCATGGTAACCAGTCCTATTCTGCTGAAATATAGAATCCACAGAGTCTGCTGTCAGAGAGCATGTTAGCCTCAATAAGAGGGCATGTGTTAGCAGCACTGTAGAAGGTGTGACAACAAGCCTGACAATATTTAAATATGTATTGAAGCAAAATACTTTTCTATGCCTAAATCTAAGACACGGAGTCTAGTTTATTTGTCAGTAGGATTATCGAGAGGAACTTCAATAGTTACAATTAGTGAACAAACATCATCAAACAAACAATATGTGTGAGCTCACAAACGCAGCATCCAAAGCACAACAGAGTAAAAAACTAGAGTTATTTGAAAGTTTTTTTTGAATAGTTTTACAAAAATACAGTGACTGATAAGAGCTGGGAAGCACAGGAGTGACTGTTTATCTCCAGAGCCGAAGTCAAAGCTAACTTTGGGGCAAACCTCCTTCACTCTTTATTCAACAGTTAGCAGCAACACACAGGAGCTCCTCTTTAGTCCGTGTACGCTCTGATAGTTTGTTTTTTTCGTTTGAATGATGAAACGAACAAACGAGAAAACCACCTTTTTTCATTTGTTGTTTCAAACCAAAAACGAAGAAACTACAAAAAAGAGCCAATCTCCCGAGAGAAATAACTTAGTAACAGTAGTTGATTATGCACTATAATATTGTGCATTTATTCAAACAGCAAGAGTCACGTTTTTTAAGCGCATTGTTTGGTGCAGTACAGTTGGTAGGCTAATATAGGTTAACCTAAGAAATGATTGTGTGTTTAGAGTTGTTACTGTCAGCTCTATATTTTTAATATTAAATTCAAATTTAATGTGGTTTCCACCGTAATGAACCAAGCTGTTTCCCCTTTCTACCAGCAGGTGGCAGGATTTAAATGAAGGCCTGTTCTGTGTCTTTATAAAATGTTTTGAATCCAGATTAATAATATAGATGTAGTTATTGTTGTTCATTTCATTTGGTTTGTGATATTTATGTTTTATTTGCAGCCTAGTTATCATCTTCATCATCCACCCTCAGCCCAGAGTTAAACCTGCAGGCCCTTCTGTTCTAACCTGGTTCTAACACTGCTGTCAGCTTCTCAGCAGCTCTGACATCAAACTCACATCAGAAATGTCCTAATGTCACCATCTGGCCAAAAGAATGATTTACCAGTGTGCTATATACTGTGTGAATCTTTCTTCTCCATAACACACAACACTCCCACTGTATCACGCAAGTGAAGGGAATCCATACAAGTCTTTCCATTCAACACATATATGCCTTCGGGGTTCAGTATCTTGCCCAAGGACACTTTAACATGCAGCCAGGATGAGCCGGGGATTGAACCACCAGCCTTCCGATTAACAGGTAACCCGCTCTGCCTCCAGAGCTACAGCCGCCCCATGGTGTCCCCTTGAACAACCATGAGTATCTAGTTGCTCTGTAGACCGTAAAAAGCACATCATTTGGCAAAGACTGGCCACTGTTTAACTTTGGTTACTGACATTCTGCCACCATTGTATCTCCAGATCAGTGTACCCTTCAATGCCCTGGAAGAAAGTGCACATACGTTTATAAATGACTGTTTGCATAGATACAGTACCTTTTTCCACATTTCAGGCTTCAAAAATAAAGATATAAAACTGTAATTTTTTGTGAAGAATCAACAACAAGTGGGACACAATCATGAAGTGGAACGAAATTTATTGGATATTTCAAACCTTTTTAACAAATAAAAAACTGAAAAATTGGGCGTGCAAAATTATTCAGCCCCTTTACTTTCAGTGCAGCAAACTCTCCAGAAGTTCAGTGAGGATCTCTGAATGATCCAATGTTGACCTAAATGACTAATGATGATAAATAGAATCCACCTGTGTGAAATCAAGTCTCCGTATAAATGCACCTGCTCTGTGATAGTCTCAGAGGTCCGTTTAAAGCGCAGAGAGCATCATGAAGAACAAGGAACACACCAGGCAGGTCCGAGATACTGTTGTGGAGAAGTTTAAAGCCGGATTTGGATACAAAGACATTTCCCAAGCTTTAAACATCCCAAGGAGCACTGTGCAAGCGATAATATTGAAATGGAAGGAGTATCAGACCACTGCAAATCTACGAAGACCCGGCCGTCCCTCTAAACTTTCAGCTCATACAAGGAGAAGACTGATCAGAGATGCAGCCAAGAGGCCCATGATCACTCTGGATGAACTGCAGAGATCTACAGCTGAGGTGGGAGACTCAACAATCAGTCGTATACTGCACAAATCTGGCCTTTATGGAAGAGTGGCAAGAAGAAAGCCATTTCTTAAAGATATCCATAAAAAGTCTCGTTTAAAGTTTGCCACAAGCCACCTGGGAGACACACCAAACATGTGGAAGAAGGTGTTCTGGTCAGATGAAACCAAAATCGAACTTTTTGGCAACAATGCAAAACGTTATGTTTGGCGTAAAAGCAACACAGCTCATCACCCGGAACACACCATCCCCACTGTCAAACATGGTGGTGGCAGCATCACGGTTTGGGCCTGCTTTTCTTCAGCAGGGACAGGGAAGATGGTTAAAATTGATGGGAAGATGGATGGAGCCAAATATAGGACCATTCTGGAAGAAAACCTGATGGAGTCTGCAAAAGACCTGAGACTGGGACGGAGATTTGTCTTCCAACAAGACAATGATCCAAAACATAAAGCAAAATCTACACTGGAATGGTTCCCAAATAAACATATCCAGGTGTTAGAATGGCCAAGTCAAAGTCCAGACCTGAATCCAATCGAGAATCTGGGGAAAGAACTGAAAACTGCTGTTCACAAACGCTCTCCATCCAACCTCACTGAGCTCGAGCTGTTTTGCAAGGAGGAATGGGCAAAAATTTCAGTCTCTCGATGTGTAAAACTGATAGAGACGTACCCCAAGCGACTTACAGCTGTAATCGCAGCAAAAGGTGGCGCTACAAAGTATTAACTTAAGGGGGCTGAATAATTTTGCACGCCCAATTTTTCAGTTTTTTATTTGTTAAAAAAGTTTTAAATATCCAATAAATTTCGTTCCACTTCATGATTGTGTCCCACTTGTTGTTGGTTCTTCACAAAATGTGTTTGTTTGAAGCCTGAAATGTGGCAAAAGGTCAAAGTTCAAGGGGGGTGAATACTTTCGCAAGGCACTGTAAATACTGTGTGTGCATATGTATGGTGTGTTATTCACGTTCCATGAGGTTCTGTGTTTGCTCCAATCCTGGCACAGAACATTATATATGATTCATTTAGACAATATTATCAGGAAACACTCCATAAACCTTCCTTGATGAAACCAATCAGTTAGCAAAACTTCAAGTGTGCCTTCAGGATGTAAAAACCTGGATGACCTGTAATTTTCTAATGTATGTATGTAGGAATCTCTGAGATTAAGACATGTCCTCCAAGTCTCAAATTTTTTTTTTACCTATGTGACATTGAAAATGGCCAGGCACCATCTTATCTTGAAGAGCTCATAGTAATTTACTACCCCATCAGAGCACTGTCCTCCCAGAATGCAGGGTTACAAATCAAATCAAATTGTGGTGTCCCCCAGGGGTCAGTCATTCACCTCTCATCAACAGTCACTAATCTTGGTGTAAAAATGGACTCCCAACTCACTTTTGCCCATATAAATCACCTATGCAAGACCTCTCTACCTCCTCCGTAACATCTCCAAACTCTGCCCCATTCTCTCCCTCCAAGATGCCAAAAAGCTGGTTCATGCCTTTGTCTCCTCCAGACTGGACTACTGTAACGCACTTCTCATTGGGATAACTAGAAAGAGTCTGCAGAGGCTTCAGTACATTCAAAACTCTGCAGCTAGGATCCTGATGAGAGTGCGGAAACATGAGCACATTACCCCCATTCTCCACTCACTCCACTGGCTTCCCATCTCCACCAGGATTGAGTACAAGGTTTCCCTCCTCACACACCAATGCATCCATGGACATTCTTTTTAGCAAAGCTTTTTGGTCCCCTTTAGAAAGAACTGCTCATTTGTTTTTTCTCTAACCTGTAGCACTAGATCTCTTGATGAAAAGTGCGTTATAAATAAAATGTATTATTATTAGTTCCTAGAGTCTCCAAAAGTATAATGGGAGCCAGAGCCTTCAGCTATCCTGTGGAACCAGGTCCCACTTTGTGTTCGGGAGGATACCATCTTCAAGCTTATTTACAAGCTTATTGTTAGGGCTGGCTCAGGTGAGTCATGAACCATCCCTTAGTTATGCTGATTATCGGATCCTGCTACATTGAATTTGTTTCATATATATCTAAATATACAGTATGTATATAGTGTGTGTGTGTGTGTGTGTTTTGTAGGAACTGATATTTCATTAGTTTCCAGTCCTCATTTTGTTGTTGCTGTAGCATCAGTTTTTTTCATTTTTTATTGTTCACTTGGTTTGTCTTTTTACTTTAATTGTCTTGTTTGCCTTTGTAAAGAAGTGCTAAGTGCTATATATATATATGTTTATTTTTGTACATTATGACACTACAGCTACTACACTATGCAGCAAATCATCTAGTTCCAATTCATCTCCTACTGTGACATGCATCATTTGTAATAATCTGTAACATTGGATACAGGTGTGCATAAGCATAGGTTTTCTTACCATATCAACCTCAGAGATGCTGTCCAAGCTCTCCACCTGAACGTCCACTCCAACAGGGATTGCAGGACCTGCCAAACAAAAGTATATCATGAGCAAACAGATGTGAAAGTACACTTGCAATTTAACAGCAGGCGGTGCTAAAAACCGAAACACTTCTGACTCCTCTTCCCTTCTGTATCTTCAACTCCTAGTTTATTATTTTGATTGGGAAGCCAATGAGTCGATGAGCCAATGAGTCAAATGTACATTATTCTGTACATTAATAATGCACAGTGACAATTCTTGGTTTGTTTAAAGATTATAGATTCATAGAACAACCATCATTTCCATATATGCTACCTTAAGGTTAATGACGTTTAACTACAAACAGGTTGTATTTATGATGCATGGATTTAAAATACGCATTTCAAATACAAAATAGGTTTGTGTAATTTGTATTTTATATGGGTCATGAAAATGGCTTCATATTTTGTTTGACTTCATTGTTTTGTATTTTAAAAATACTATAAGGGACTTCCGGTTGAGTGGCCATGAAGTTAGCAGCGTAACTTTGGAGCTCCCTGATCCAGCATAATGCCATCTTTCAGAGGTTTAAACCTTTAAAAAATCATGTGATTTTAATTAGGTGTTGATATATCTGAAGGAAGACGGAAAACCACCATGCATGTGAATAAACAGGATCCTCCAGCTCAAAGAAATCCACGGGCAAGATGGCTAGCAGCAGCCATATTGAACCAAAGAAATAAACACAACATGCGGCTGACGACATGGCTGACTTATAAACAACTGAGAGGCTTTCGCCAGAAAGATAGTGACGCTCTCCGAAAAATGAACACGTTCCTTGTTTTTTTCATTGTTGTTTTTTTTTAATTGCCTTTATTCCTCTACTTTCTCTCCCTCTGTATGCAACCTCATCCCATTATTGCATGTTACTAACACAACTTCTCCCCTTTCCGGTAGTCTTGGGCTTTCTCGTCCCTCTCCTCTCTCCTCCTATCACTTCCTGCAGGTTTTCTGGCTCTGGAGCTGTGGAGTCTGGATCTGTGGCTGCGGGTCACCTGCTGCCCCCGTGTTCCTGCTCGACACCCTCTGCTGCAACGACTATTGTTACTAGTCCTATTGTTATTATTGTTATTATAATCATTAACATTACGATTGTTATCATTAACACTACTATAAATATCTGTACCATTTTTCATTTAGTCTATAGCAACATCACCTTCACTGTCTGTACCTCTGTGTGTATATTGTGTAGGCTGCCTCCCTCCCCTCTCTCTCTCTCTCTCTCTCTCGCTCTTTTATGAAAAGCGCTGTGAGATAACTGTTGTTGTGATTTGGCGCTATATAAATAAAATTGAATTGAATTGAATTTACTCAGGGAGCTTTACGGAGAGCAACCTCTAATTTGCTGAAACACATGCACACTGTTACACATTCACACCTGGAAGCTGCCCAGTACAATCGCAGTCTGGTCTGCTGGCCACTGAGCAGCTCCACTGAAGCAGTTGGGGATATGGGCCTCAGTGGTGGTAAATGAGGGAGTGCAAGCATTGCTTGTTTTACTTTCCACGCCCAGATTTTATCCTGCTGGTCTAGCGCTCTTCTCTAACCTTTGGTCCACCACTGCCTACCATGTGTAACGTTCCCTAAATGTTCTGTAAAGGTGACAAACGTCCCAAACATTTACAGATCATTAGAGATGTTCCTGAAATGTTACCAATAAGGTAGATAGTTTTCTCAGCTGCATCTCTGATGTCTCGGCAATGACTAAAAACAGACTGCCGTTTCCTCAAATCCTTCCAAGTGTGATAGTGGTGCCGAAAATGATGTTCCTCGAGCACTGAAAGGGGATTTGAACACTGGCTTCCCAAATAGGAACTGGTCCATTTTTTCTTGGAAACCCAGACGCTCTGTGTCCACTTTTCTCCTTTTTGATAAAGACATTTTCCACCATGAACGCCTACGCTTGACAGTGTTGTGTCACAAGGCAATGTGTGGGATATACAGTAGAATATGGTATGCTATCATAGGGCCTGCTTTATGGGGGTAAAATGATGCAATGTTTATTGAAAATTAACACAATATGAGTCACAAATGCATATAACAATTTGTACATACAAATCTATAGAAAGATTAAAAATCCACAAATAACCACATCATTATCCACAAATGTATATCAGCAACTTGTATTTGAAAACCAGAATGTGAATGAACGTAAAGTGATTTGTCTGCAGGTTAGGGTCATATTCTGTTTGTAGATTGTATCACATTCATTTTCAGAATTTTGAAACTTTTTCACTGTCATGCTAAAACAATGCCATAATCATTGAAAATAAACAGACTATAAGTCACAAAGGCATACTACAATTTGTAAACACAAACCCCGATAGACAATTAGATTTAAAATCCACAAACTCCTCATAATCCACAAATGTAAAACACAATCTGCTGTTGGGCCTCACATCCATGAAAACAAAAATGGGCCTTCAGGTCACTGAGGAGCATATCTGTACGTCGTAGACAGAGGACAAGCTAGAAGACTTGTGACATCCTGCATACCCGTTGGAGTCCCAAAAGCCTGAGTTTGGAGTTATCACCAACAAAAGACTGTAAACTAGAGCCACTATTGGCTGCGCTTGTAATCTTGCAGGTCACCCTGGTAACGCAGCCGGCGCGCCCTCCTCAGGTGTAAGTAGGCCTGAGCACAGCCAACACATTGTCTTTCCACAGCTGGGCGAGCGGTGATAGGAGACAACTTTCTCAGCGCTGAACTTTCTTTGTCCTGAATACAGACTTCACTCGCTGGACGAGCAACTCTGTTTTTTCTACCTCTATTAATTTTCACGGTGTTACCTAGACAATTTTGGATCCCTAAAGAAACTGTTACAGAAGATAACGTTTCCTTCCTGCAGAAGAACACGGATAAACTCTGCTTAACTGAGAAGATCACGTCTGTGTTATACCTTCTCAACTTAAGTCGACTTTGCTGATTCCTGTTGCTGCCGCCGAAGAATCTGCTGTGCCGTTGAAACTACCAGCACTGTCACAACTGAGCCGAGAGAAAACTCAGCTGGATTTTCTAAAAGGACTGACACATCTACTCGCTACCAAAAGCGACACATAAGAGGCTTTAGTATGTCTGGGCAGATAGTTCTATAACTTTGTCATTGTAACTTACTTGTACAAGCTTTCTGTGGTGAGTTTCTGTTAAGAAAGGGATATTTAGAGACCGCGGTGTCTTGTTTTATTGCTGTGTTTTCCGCGCTTCGCACATTGTTTGTGTCCGGTACCACTCGCTAGGCCGTGATGCTTTGCTCCTGTTACTGTGTGAAAATGTATCGGTATTTTTATCAAGCCAGGGAACACTGTTGCTGAATGCAAGTTCACTACCGTCCCTCTCACTGATAAAGTTGTAGCTGAGTGTTTGCAACAGTAATTAGGATTTTTGGTGTTTGTTTCTGTTGTCTGAGGACAGATGCACATTCTATCTAATCCAAAGCCAGCAACCGCTGCTGAATGAATCATTCACTGCTGGTGGCTGTAAGATAGACTGGTTTATTGTATATAGTTTTCCCTGTGCTTTTCTCTCCGCCTTCTGCTTATTAACCCCACATGCACACACCACGTGATCTGCGAACCAACTCCCCATGATCTACAAATATAAAACACCATGTGCAAATAGATTCATAATCTGCAAACAAACTCTTTATGATTCACAAATAGAAATCAGTGACTTGAAAAACAGAATTTGAATGAAGGCAGAGTGATTTGTCTGCACAGGTCATATTCTGTTTGTAGATTGTGTTGCATTTGTTTTCAGAACATTGGCACTACTGTTCTGCTGTTTTCCCATTACATTTTTTTTTACAAATGAACACAATTTGCAACCAAACACAGTCTAACTTGTATTTTCAAACCACTGTATAAAGACATGCTTACAATTCTGTGAAAAGTGTTGAATCTGTGTTTGTGGATCACAGGGCATTTGCATATCCCTTTGCATTTGTCTACAGACCATTTTGGCAATGTCTTTCCACAGAGTGTGTGACTACGATCTACACCAGATCAGCCAATTAGAGATATTATTTCTATGTGATGTCACATCCCCTCAATAAGCCCTTCAAAATAAGAGCCGAAACTTGTCAGATGGGCCAGCCAACTCCGGTGCTGCCATAACAGCTCTGAGAAGCACACAGCGATAGGGAAGAAGAGACACTTAGGTTGTCAGGTAAACAATTACTTGACTAAATGGCTATTTTATTTCATTATGTGACATTTATTGGGATATTGGGAGGTTGGGATAGCCGGCGAAATCTTGGCCTTATCGCTGGGATCACATTGGCACTGAACCCCGTAGGATTCATTTCTAGCATGTCAAATATGTCGTGACAAAACAGAGCTTAGACTAGAACAAACGCCAAGTAATAGCCAGCCAGTGATAATAACTTGAGTTATTATCACTGGCTGGCTATTCAGCTGGTTAACTTTAGTCAGGCGCTACCCCACCTGTAAGTGAATATTTTATATTTTCCCTGATAATGCTTTTGTGAATAACAAATCTGTGTCACAAATAACCTACCTAGCGACCGATGTGCAGCTAATATTAGCTCAGCTTGGGTGCACAGTTTGTTTTTAGTTGAGTTTTCACTAATATCATCTGATTCTCGTTTGGCCTGACAGGCTTCAGCACATCACACACATCCTTACATGGAGTTTATGTTTGAGTTTGTGTTGGAGTCTGTGTTGTGCCGGGAGCCGGTTGTTTTATGGTGTTAGTGGACTGCATTACGTTAGCTGCGTTGTTGTTGCTGTAGTCAGAGAGAGGCTTGGTAGAGCGCATGCAGCTACATCCCGATCCAATGTCCTTACATTAAAGGCAGAGTAGTGGCTGTTTCAAGCAACAGAAAACAGGTGTGTGCTTTATTTGTGAGGCTACAGCCCACTGACAAAAAGGCAGTGAAAATTAGATTTATTAAGTGATTTCATTGAAAAACTTCATATAGCCCCTTTTAAAAAGGGAAATTATATATACATACAAACAAACACACATACACCCCACGTACCTACC